TGGTCCCCGTTGTGTTCGTAAGTCAAGGACCACTTGTGCAGAATTCGTTCCTGTATGTACGTGACAATTACAACCTCACGATGACCAAATACAATTGTCACCTAAAGATTTTTGATTCTACGATTGCTGGTAGAGGATTACACAAAAGAGAACTGTTTAGATAAGGTGGAATCTATTTTTTTTTCTGTTGTGCATCAGCTAATTGCAAGAAGTTTCTCATCTAAGACGCTAAGAATTTAAGAAACTTTTAAAATTCTACTGAAGAACTGAAGATGCTTCTTGGGTGAGCAGCGAAACTTTTCAAAGAAAATAGCACCTTTGGGACAACCATGACCTGGGTGACTGAGACTCTCCGTAGACAACTTCATGTAAGGGGGCCTTGAGCTATGTGTTGATGAAGTAACTTCTTGCAATTAGCTGATGCACAACAGAAAAAAAAATAGATTCCACCTTATCTAAACAGTTCTCTTTTGTGTAATCCTCTACCAGCAATCATAGAATCAAAAATGTTAATCTTTAGGTGGCGATTGTATTTGGTCATCGTGAGGTTGTAATTGTCACATACATACAGGAACAAATTCTGCACAAGTGGTCCTTGACTTACGAACACAACGGGGACTAGAACTTCCATTCTTAAGAAAGGCAGTTGTTAACTGGGTCATGCCTGATTTTACAGCCCTATAGCTGTGGTCATTGAGCAAATCCTCAGTAGGAACAGAGAAAATCATGACTGCAGTTGGATAAAGACATTTGGCATGCCAACAATCAATAGAAGGCAACCAACAACAAAAACTGAAACTGTAAAGACACTTTTAAACCAGCATGATAAAGAATCTTGACCTTAGTGGGTTTCAATCTGGACCTGTGAACCTAAAGCCTTTCACTCCAGGTTATTGATACTATTCGCTTCGCCCAGATTTGTGTCAAAGTATAAAGCTGGAAAGGCATAAATTGAGGAGGGAAGTCCTACGAGCACAAATTCCCTTTGGTGTTGTTATTGCCTATTGAGTAAGACTCTCGTATGTAAATTGATGAGCTACAAGTTCTCCAAGTATGTCATGCTCACAGTTGAACTACTTCTCCCAGACTGGGTCAATCAAGTGAAGGGCAGCCTTCAACCATTGACCGATGAAATTAAGATCGGATGCACATCCAAGTTCAGATGAGGTTAAAAAACCAAAATCAAAATGAAAGCACACCCACAAAGTGGTTAGGCCAATCATTTTGCTCTCCTCCCACAGAAGACTCCGTTGTATCTTACTGATGTATCCTAATGCGTCCAAACAGAAAAACTGAAAGTTGTTTTACCTGAAGGAAATCTCTGTGGGGCAGGCATTTATCCAGAGCCAGAAACTTGGTTGTTTTGGGTTGCTCTTCGCTGTTTTCAGCCTAAAAAGCAGGAACAGGGACAATCATATTGTGAGAGGCCTCCCCCTGCGGCATTTTTTAAGGTTCGATTTTTAACGTTCAGGATAACATATGATTTCTAGCTTCTATTGCCCAAATACCACTGTACTCAATGTCATCTGTATTCTATAATGTAGCGTTTTCTTCAACTTTGGTTTAGCTTAGTTTAGTTTACTTTGTCATTGCACATAGTATAACGAAATCGCCATCTTTAGTGTACATTGTAAGTATAAAAATAAAAACACAAACACGCATCCTTCACATGCTATATATTGGTGTCTTCTAAGATATGTGGACTTCAGCTCCCAGATCTTGTCCTTTAAGACAACAGGCCAGAAGTGGTGAGATTCCCACCATTTGAGTTGATATTATTTTACTATTGTGGATTTCCTTTTCCCCACAATATGGCCGTTCTTTACCGTTGCTTTAATTGATTTTATAACTGGTTTTAATCTACTGTAACCTGTCCCGAGTCAATGGCGAGTGGGTAACCTTTAAACAGTGAAATAATAAGTGAATAAGTAAGTAACAATCTTGGTATTCCTTTAAGAAGCTGGTATCTTTCAACTATTATAGTTTGAAACAGACGGTCTTTGAGTACTAACGTTATTCCTGTGATACATTTTGCAAAATTGGGAGATTATGTTCACTGTTAAAAGATCTCTCCAGCTTTCATTACAATGTACTCAACTTACAGAAAGCAACACACCCACACACCCAAATCCTGTACATTGCTTACCTCTGGAGGTCTCCAACCTTGGCAAATTTAAAACTGGGCTGTCAGTCTGAGCACCGAGCTTGGCGATTTGGTTGCAAACGTTTTGTCACCATTCAAGGAGACATCGTGGGTGCACTTCGAATTGTGCTTGTGCACTGACGTCGTCACCTCGAATGGTGACGAAACGTTTGCAACCAAATCGCCAAGCTCGGAGCTCAGACCGACAGCCCAACTGCCAATCCAAGCTACTTAATATTCATATACATTTCGAATTTAAAACTTGTGGACTTCATCTCCCAGAACACCCCAGACTTCTGGGAGATGAAGTCCACAAGTTTTAAATTCTGGGAGTTGAAGTCCACAAATCTTAATATTGTCCTGATTGGAGACTTGTGTCTTACCTGATGCTGCATTAATGCTGCAAACTTGACGTGCAAATGAGCCGAAAACCAGTAACTGGGTTTCAAGTGCTGCAGCAGTTCTGATGCCGCTGGGCTCCCTAAGGTGTTGCTCTCCACTTCTGAGCGGAAGAAGGATTTCTTCTTAAGGAGCAATGCCTTGTTTCCGTAGTGATAGATACGTCTAGGCCAGTCGTGGGACAAAAATACGTCCATGGGCTGCTTGAGCTGTCAAGCCGAAACCAACAACAGAAGTGAAGTGAAATTGTTGCCGCTGATGCTCAAGGAAAGATAGCAGGGCAGGTGCAAAAAACTCTCAAAAGACAGTTTTATTTCACTATACTGAATCCTAGCAAAGTTTTATGGTTTTATTATCTAGAGCAGTGTCCCCCAGCTTTTTGGGCACCAGGGACTGGCTCCGCGGAAGGAGGTTTTTCTATGGACCAGAAGGGGCGTGGGTTTGTGCGCTGCCTGTATCCCCCAGGTGGGGCTTCACTTGTTTTCACAGCCTGGTTTCTCACATGCCGTAGCCCAGTGCCAGCCCACGGACTGGGGGTTGGGGTCCCCTGCTCTAGAGGGAGGCTTGATTGGTTGTAATTTTGATTTACTGCCATTGTTGCATTGATTTGCTTTATAGTTGGCCATAGTTGTCTTTTGAGTTGAGCTGGTTATAAAATCTGTCGGTCAACATGGGGATAAATACATTAAGGCTATTAGATCCTATTGAAGAATTCTTCTGAGGGAGATGGGCAATATAGAAATGTGGAATATAAATGAATTAATAAATTAAGAACACTCACGGAGAAGCAAAACATATGGGCTTTGTTAAATATAAACCAGATTTGCACAAAGCATTTCACATTAGAATAGAATAACAGAGTTGGAAGGGACCTTGGAGGTCTTCAAGTCCAGCCCTCTACTTAGGCAGGAAACCCTTTATACCATTTCAGACAAAACTAATATGATTCCAGCTTAGCTGTCGAACAGCCATTATGGTTTGTAATGTATTGGGTTATCATGTAGTATGTATGCAACAAGTGATGAACTCAATAAATTATGGTTCAGCAAACCATGATTGGGCATAAGATATGAACAGAGATACAGAGATCATCTTCAGAAAAAGACCTTCCATAATAAATCCAGATTTAATGCTGGAGTTTTGCAACAACTAGACGGTTGTGGTGTCCTAGGAGCCGTGATCCCCTTTTGCAACCTTCAGACAAGCAAAATCAATGGGGAATCCAGATTCACTTAACAACCGTGTTGCTATTGACAAATGTAATGATTCACTTAACTAACCATGGTGGCAAGAAAAGTAGTAAAATAGGGCAAAGCCACCGTACATGTTTCACTTAGCTACACAAATTTTGGGTTCAATTGTGGTTGTAACTCAGGGGCTACCTGTATAAAGAAGAGCCCAATATATGATAAGGTGATTATTTAGATTTACCTGCTTCAGCTTGAAAACTTCAATATTCCTTACATGATAGATGCTTCGTACTGTTTCCTGGTTGTAAGGAGGATACTCAAAGTGACCTGAAACAAGTTCAGAAGCATCAACTTGAAACGTCAAGAAATGTCTTTAGTTCACAAAGACAGACTCTGGGTCATACCTGCAGAGCGGAATCCAAGACTCTAGGCTAAAGTACCAACTTAAAAATAAAATCCCAGAAAGAGGTAATTGATCAGCCACCTCCGTATCATGCCCAAAAAATTGCATAGATTAATCTAAGTTTGATAACGTTGAATTCAAAGACAAAGAAGATGTGAATTTAACAGGAAGAGCAGCTAGACTGAAAATCGTGCTGCGCTTGAGCTTATCCCTCTGGTTTCAACAAAAATTGAAAAGAGAGTAAGAGTTGGCTGAGTCCAAGGAAAACAATCTGATAACAAATTTGACTGTTATCAAAATATGGGAGACATACAAACAGGGCCACTCAGGCAGAGGAATGGCTTTTGAAACATGGCGATCACTAGAATTCTTACATAATGTCTCTTTAGCTTTTCTACCTGATGAGAAATCATTCCATTCTTGTGTGTTTGTTTCATTAGTTCCAATCTAACTTCAGCAGTAGCCTGAGAGAGATTTTTGAGATTGCATTAGCCAAATAATCCAAGATGAAACTTTAATTTCATATCCTATTTTGACAACCCAGCTTCCCATTCTCCTTCTTGTGTCATATCCACAATCATGTTGGTGATCCTATTTTTATCAACAGCCACATGAAAAAGTGCTGTTCAGTTTTGTCCAAACCGATCCCTTAGATTTTGAAGTTAAGACGTTCTTCTTCTGCCTGGACCTCATTTGCCTTCAATCTTTCCCCGGAGGATTAAGTGAAGGATGCCGTATTTTTCTGGGTGTTGCATCATATGTCCAAAATATTCTAATTTTCGCTTTTTTAATGATTTCGATGATTTCCCTTGGCTTTTCCAGGTGGTTTACATTACAGCTTCCCATTACAGTTACTCAATCCTAAACTTATATATCAATATATCAATAACAATAAAAGCAGTAAAAAGCACTAGAACCAAGCCACACAAATGTTAATGGTCCATTTGCTTAAAACAAGAGCTTGAAGAATCATTCACACGTACCTCTTCTGTAATCATGACCTTTGAAAATACCAGAGAGGCCACCAATTCTCAACCCTCGGTACCTGACAACTCCGGCATAACCTGTAGAGAATAATAAAACAACCTTGACCAAGAAATGCAGGAAACATCACCTAGGCAAAAAGCAACCATTTTAAATCCAGAACGTCCAGATAAACAATTGAACAGGTCTCAGGAAAGCTCCTCCCTAATTCTCAAGGCTCAAAACATCTTAAAAAGTTGCACAGCAGTTAAAATGTCCCATGGAAAAAAATAAAGCTATAAAATGATGGGGGGGGGGGGGGAGAACAATCCGGAAGCAAACTGCTGTAGTTAAAGTGTTTTTATGATGTTCTGTGTGATGGGCAAATGTATAAATAGATAAATAAATAAAACAGAACCACCACATTGTCTCATCCATGTAGGATTCCACCCTTTCTCCCTTTCTCCATCAAGCATTTGATACTATCAAGCCAGAAAGCAAAAGGAACAATACCAAGGTAATAGATGTTGGGGGCCACCCATCCACCATATGGTAACTCCTGCAAGTGGTTGGAGGCCTCATGGTTGCCACCAATGAAGATAGTCAGGATAGGTGCTTTCTTCTCTCCAGAATAATATCTAGGAAAAGACAGTTTGAGCTCCAGGTTAAAGATCCATGTTTTTTTTTAATTTTGATATCCTCTACTTAGGAGAAGTCACAGAAACACAATTAATTAACCCTTTCAATAGAAACTGAAGGGAATGGACTTGCCAAATAGGTATGGCTGGTAGGCATAAAATTATAGCTGTGCTAGTCAAGTTCAGTAGCTCTGTGGGCCCCCACTCTCATAGAATAGAATAACAGAGTTGGAAGGGGCCTTGGAGGTCTTCTAGTCCAACCCTCACCCCAGGCAGGAAACCCTATGCCATTTCAGACAAATGGTTGTCCACTCTCTTCTTAAAAACTTCCAGTGTTGGGAGCATTCACAACTTCTGGAGGTAAGTTGTTCCACTGATTAGTTGTTCTCACTGTCAGAACATTTCTCCTTAGTTCTAGTTTGCTTCTCTTCTTGATTAGTTTCCATCCATATTGGGAGAAAACTCTAAACCAGATCCCTGTCTACTAATCTTGTTTACTACACCCATTGCTTCTTGTCCTGCCCTCAGGTGCTTTGGAGAATAGTTTGACTCCCTCTTCTTTGTGGCAGCCCCTGAGATATTGGAAGACTGCTATCATGTCTCCCCTTGTCCTTCTTTTCATCAGTCTAGATATACTCAGTTTCAGCACCGTTATTTTTTTATAAATTTTCTTCATAAAAGCATTTTTGAAAAACAGTGCATTATCAGGCTATACCATTTACAAATAAAAAAGACCAAAAATAAAAAAGAAGAGTGGTGTTAAACATTGACAAGCTAATAACAATAAGTGATATAGCAACAATTGTAATAATATAACCAAAAAGTTAAGTTTCTTCTTACATTATAGCAATAATGAAATTATAGCTGTGCTAATCAAGTTATGTGGACCCCCACTCTCATAGAATAAAATAACAGAGTTGGAAGGGATCTTGGAGGTCTTCTAGTCCAACCCTCAGCTAAGGCAGGAAACCCTATGCCATTTAAGACAAATAATTGTGATACAGTAACAACAGTAATAATATAAGGGTTGAGTGGGGAACCCTGTCTCACCCAGGGAAATCATTGCCCCCACCCCCACCCCTCTTTGGCCCTGAGATGCCAAAATAGAGATTCCCCCCACCCGCGATTCTGACTGGGAAGGGAAGCTGAGGGTCCCCCCCCCCGTCTTGTTCTCGAGATCCCCGGCCTGTCTCTTTGCTGCTTCCAGCAAAAGGAAGGAAAAATAAAAGTGCCTTTCCCTCCCACCCAAAAAATTGCTCAAAACTGGTGCAAAAATAACTTTTCCTATCAAGATTTTTGCACAACCCCGCGTGTACGATAAAGTGTTCAGAGAGCTTGCACGCGTCTACACGTCATGCACACTGCGTTCTAAGAGTCGCCACGTCTTTTTATTGTTGTTGTTGTTGACATCGTGGCGCCCCACAACTCACAACGTTTCGCTCGGCTCTCCGCCTGCAAAGGATCTTCCCCCCACCCGCGCCCTCCCCAGTCTCCCCACTCACTTGGCAAAGCCTCCCAACTGGCGGTACTTGGAGGGCACCGCCATGCAGCGCAGGTCGGCCGCGTTGCGCACGGCTTGGAAATCCCCGGCGCAGAGCAGCAAATCCGGCCGGGCGTCGCCGTGGCGCTGCTCCAGCAGCTGCAGAGTCTCGTACAGTTTATCCAGCGCGCCATGACAGCAGCCGGCCACCGCCACCTTCATCTTTCCCCGCCGGGACGGGACATGCGCGCTTTCGTCGGCCGGCCCCTCTCACGCAGGCGCCCGGAACCAAACCGTCGCTTCTTGCTGGGCGCAAAATCATGCGCCCAGCCCGGGGTTGCGCGCTTGCAAAGCGGGCGTGGGGGCTGTTTTGGAGCGGGAGGGGGATTATTTTTTTTATTATATTTTGACCCGTCTGCTTTCCTATCTTCCTGCCCTGGAGCTTTTTTTTTTTCCGGATCGGTTCCTCGGGGAAATGGCATGGAATCGAAGGATCCACGCGAGCAGCGAGCAGCGTGAACTCCTGAAGTCGCTGCCGCCGTCCCGTTCCCTCTAACCCAGAGGCCTTCAAACTAGGCCACTTTAAGACGTGTGGACTTCAACTCCCAGAATTCTCCAGCCAGCATATCATAGCTGGCTGGAGGATTCTGGGAGTTGAAGTCCACACGTCTTAAAGTGGCCTAGTTTGGAGACCTCTAACCCGTGGAAAAATTGGCTTTTAGAAACAGGACCCGTCTTTGAATAGAATTTTTAGGGCGCCTTTCCTTTCCCTAAGGATGTCTATGCTGTTATAGGCGAGCCAGTTTGGTGTAGTAGTGAAGGGGCTTGGCGTAGTAGAAACTAGAACAGTATGAATTCTACTCCCATCTTAGAAATGAAAACTGACCCCCAGATTTTGCCATTTATCTAGCTCTAGGTGATAGCCAAAGTCCCCCCCCATTGTACTGTTTTGTGTCTCTTATTTGCTCATTTCCCAAATTTTATACAAAAAAAAGAAATGAAAGCTGGCACAGGAGGCTTTGCTCCTCTCAGCCCAATCCAACCCGCTTCACAGGGCTGTTGTGGGGGAAAATAGGACATACGTTTGCTGTCCTGAGTTACTTATAAAGTAGTAAAAGGCAAGATAAAAATCTAATCAATACAAAAATGGCCGCCACGGATGGGGTCCCTAAGGCGGTTAACTCTGGACTCCTGTTTGCAGTTCGGCCCCTAAGCCTGCCATTTAAGGTGCCATGGGAAAGATGAATGAAACTGGCAGAAATGTGTGTTAAGATTCAGAAAAGGGTGTTGGCCTCATGTTGGGCACTTGCCATAGACATGACTGAGACTGTTGGTGGGTAAAGCAGAACGAAAACATACGAAAGGGTTGGCGTTTCCCAACACCCTTGGAAATAAAAACTTCCACTCCAGAATCCAGAGAAACTCAAGTCACTCTTAAAAGTCAGTTTTCCCCCCTCGGGTTGTTGATTGCACCATCAACAGGCCTCAATTGCCAAATGTTCTCTTCCCTCCCTCTCTTCTCACGAGGTCAGTTGCATAACCTGTAGGAAAATACCAGAATGGAGTTGCCCAAACGTATTATTGAACCCAAATTAGCTCTAGCTAGCCACACCTTTCCAAGCAATGCAGAGGAACATGGAAAAGGAGAAGCCGCCGACGCTGCGTAAACACCGACAGTAGCAGTTGACACCCCGTGGGATCAACATAGGGTGCCGTGCATGCAACATCAAGCAACCCTTTTTGAGTATGGAGTTGCTCCTGAGGCAGGAGCGGAAAATGCCGGATGTGCTTATACCTTGGCAACGTCCCTAAACCGCAGGGAAATGGCAATCTGCTTCCTCTTGATGATCTGCCTCATTTGGATGCCATTTTTCGCTTCAGGTAAGGTGGTGATACCCCCCAATTCGGGCAGGCCCTTAAAGCAAAGTGAATAAATAAAAGTAATATTCCTAGGAGTATGGATTTAGAGCCAAAGAAGGCAGAGTTATTTTTGACCGGAGTTGCAAAAGTTCAACAGATCCTTCTGTAGCTCAGTTTGGTAGAAACCAGATACAAAGAACAGACAATGTCGATCCAGCTTTCTTAACCAGGTGTTTTTATCCCCCCCAGCAACCGGATTTAGGGAATCGTTTTGTTGAGGCTCGTTTGTAATATGAAACTCTTTGGGCAACATTAATGTGTAAAACTGAGAATCTCTTTAATATTTAAAAACAGGTATTTTTAACACATCGCTCAAGTAGAATTGACAGTTGGACATTGGTTAGAAAAAAGAACGGTATATTAGTATAAATTGATAAATTGCTAGAGTGATGAAGGTGCACTGTATTAATTTTAGGCATGTTTAAATCTAGACTACTCTGCCAACAGCTAAGGAGAAAAATCATAAGACTTTTCCTTCATATATACCATAACAGTGACTGAAAACAATTGTTTGTACTGTAATCATTTCCTGTAATATCTGTTGTGGAATAAAGTGGAATACCTTAGAATGATGGGTTGATCGTAATTTTGAGGCAGGAGACAGGATACAATGGGATTAAGGAAAATTATCTTTCAGCTTGTGTATAGTGTTTGATGTTGGATTCAGTCCGGAAGTGTCAACACAAGGCTACCAAGAGTTATTTTGGAACTAGGTGGCTTTTGTTAATAAATAAATAATAAACAAGGCAGCTTTTCCTAATATGCAATTCCAGCCACATTACTTCAATAAATAGGATAGGAACTATAGCTCTTTTTTTTACTTATTTTATTTATTAAATTTAAATGCTACTCATCTCACTGTCATGCAACTCTGGGTACCTGACTTAGAATCACTTGTTTAGCGACTGTTCAAAGTTACAGAGACCACAAGGAAAATAACTTACAACTAGTCAATACAATACAATAGCAGAGTTAGAAGGGACCTTGGAGGTCTTCTAGTCCGGTCCCCTGCCTAGGCAGGAGACCCTATACCATTTCAGACAAATGGCTATCCAACATCTTCTTAAAGACTTCCAGTGTTGGGGCATTCACAACTTCTGGAGGCAAGCTGTTCCACT